GACAGCCTTGGAAACCCTGTGGGGCAGTTCCACTCTGTCCTCTAGGGGCGCTGTGGGTCAGAATGGACTCCACAGCAGTGGGTGTGGTTTGGGCTTTGCTTCTGCAGAGATGACAGCCTTGCAAACCCTATGGGTCTACTCTGTCCTCCAGGGGCGCTGTGAGTCGGCATCAACTCCACAGCAGTGGGTTTGTTTCAGTTAGTAGTCTCTATTGTCTGAAAAGCAGCCATTTTGGTAATGAGTAAAAAGGCTAAAGAAATCTGTCCCTGTGGTTAAAATCTTACTAAAGTCGCAGATTATGCTCAAAAAACCTCACTGTCAAGCATTTCTTTGAGTTTTCAATGGATGAAACAAGACATTTTATCTGATCAAGGCAGAAATGCGGACCCTCAAGTGTAACCACAGTAACTCTCCACACTCCGTTCTATACAGACCCGAGTGTGAAAACTGAACAGAATGAAATGACAAACTCTACCACGTGGCAAAACGAAAAGTAACTTGGGCAAGCGGCAGCTCACAGTTTTCCATTTTAAAAACATCTCATTATTGCATCTTCTCGGATGTCACCGGAAGGTCAGAAAAACTAAAAGATACCATGAAGAAGGGGATGAATGGTTTTATTATCACACCACCCACTATTTCAAGATTAAAAATAATCCCAGAGTTCTGAAATGTCTTCATGAGTTAAGGAACTCCACCATTCCTTTCAGTCTCTTTTTAACATAGAAAATCACTTTGTAGTAAGATGTCTACAGAAGGTAAAAAGCATTCAGAAAATAGACAATATATATAGATAGATAGATAGATTTTTTTTAACGTCAAAATTAAGATGAGCCCAGGAATTTCTGAGATCAGTGAGAAATTTCTGAGCATTCAGGTCGGTTTCCTTTGATGGTGACGATGTAATTCTTCTTCTTCTCGACCTTGGGTATTTATTTAAAAAAACAGCCCATGAGAAAGGGAGGTTAGGGCAGTTATGATTGTGTACAGATTAAAACAAAATAGAAATAATAATAATAATCAAAACCCTTAATCCATCAGTCCACACAATTCTTTTGACATCTGTACCTTGGGGGCATTTGAGGGCTCAGGCATCTGTCACCTAACCATCAGAAACAGCCTGGGCAGCTCCAGTAGATGCTCTTTCCCAGCTCAGATCAATCAGGCAGTGGGACGGGACAAACAGAACTGCAGAGTGAGACAGACCTGCTTCTGGTATGGGGCAAACGCTCCCAACACAAAGAATCATGTCCCAAGTCCCATTCACACGCGTGGCCTCTTGCTAGGAAGTGCCCCTCCATGTAGGCTCTCTGCAGTCTCCAACCCTCTTCAGAGTCACACAGTCACCGCTGGAAACATCTTTTGCTCACTGTTAGTGTGCGGGAAGGGGGACTGGATCTGCCTGTAGCCTGTCTGCAGGCCGTCCATGAAAGGGGGCATGGGTGGCAGGGGCACCGAGTCGTGTTGCACCGCGTACCCCACGTAGGGCGGGTGCAGGTACTGCCCCTGGTGCGGCACAATCTGGGTGGCCTGCTGGCAGTTCAGCACCGAGAAGTTGGTGGGCATGTTGACATACACGTTGTTCATGGTCCCCTCCGGCAGGCAGCAGTTGGTCTGCGACCTGGTAGGGGGAGCCCGGGCACCCGAGTTGGCACTGGAGCTGGAGCTGGCGGCCGTGCTGGACTGGCGGGAGGAAGACCCTCGCGACGTGCTGGCGCTAGGGATCATGGGAATGGTCTCCATCAAGCGGCTGCCGCCGGGGGCTCGGCTCTGCTGGGGCTCCTGCTTGGGCCGCAGGCATCTGCAGCAACAGGCCGCCACGAGGGACCCCAAGATGATGAAGGCGACAAACACTGAGCCCACGATGAGGAACGGGACGTAGATGGGCACTGGAGGAAAGAACAGAGACACAAAATCATGACTTGCTGTGCGTCTACAGCACAATTCTGCGATGAGCAGCATCTAGCCCCAGAGTGAAGGACTGCACAAAGGGGGTGGAGACGGCTTCTTCTGGCACCCTCTGACCTCACAACAAGAGTCACCATCAACAGCCCAACACTTAGTCCTACGAGGCCGAACATGCTGCCACCCTCCAGCCTTTTACCAATTCTAGCACCAACCGCCCCTCCCACGGGCACTCACTACTTCTCCGCTGGGTTCAATGATTCACTGCAATGGCCACACAGAACTCACAGACAATACTCACGATTATGTTTATTAGGGAAGTGACAGGCTACGATTCAGGTTCAGGATCACGCCCAGGATATAATTCTTAGATCAGGACAGTCTCCCCTCTGCTACATGCCCTCAGGCATGCCTCTCTGGCCCTTGCCTTCTGGTCTTGGCCTCTGCCCTGCTCGGGTGTCATGAAGTTCTTTCAGCTCTGCCGGAGAGATACACCGAGGTGCACCCCACCCCGCCAGCAAGCATCCTGCTGAGAGGCACTCAGTTTCCTCACTCCATGGGCCGGCAAGCTTGCTGCTCTGTCTTGGGCCTCTTGATTCCACTGCCCCCGTCCCTCAGCCAGCTGTCTCTGCCAAGGAGGTGCAGTGCAGGGATCTCGGGCCCTACCACACGCTCCACTTCACCTCCAGCTCTTCTCTCTCGATGGCAGTGAGATCTTCCCTCTGCCTCTAGGAAGGCTCACTGGAAGCCTGGCAGAGTGCCGAAACTAACCAATCCCAACATCAGAGTTGCATACACCTTATTTGCATGGTCCCAGCCTGCACTCTGGTGGGAGTTACGAAGACTATGGCTAGAAAAGCCAGACCAAGTAATTCACTGCACCACAACGACCGAGGCTGGTCCACTTGTTTGTTCATTATCAGCCGCCACAAGGGACCCCGAGATGAGGCTCTGTCCATTAGTGAGCGCTTAGGAAAGGCGGAATCCCTGGGTGGAGGTTCGAGTCCACCCATAGGCACCACGAAAGAAAGGCCTGGCAATCTACTTCTGAAAAAACCAGCCAATGAAAACCTTATGGAACGTAAGAGTTCTACCCTGACACACATAAGGGCACCACGAGTCAGGACTGACTCAACAGCCACTGGTTGACTGCCTGGCAGGGAAGGTGGTAAGAGCCCCTGAGGCATGGTACTCAGCTCCCCCAAAGTAAAGTGCTAATATTTACAGTTAAGACTTATCATTGCAATATCATTAGAGACATTTGGTTAAAAAAATAAAATCCTTAAGATAGAGTGGGAGAACAATTTTGAATAACGAAACTCAAAATTATATATAAAACAAGACCAGGGTTGCTGGTCTGATAGAGCCTGGTGAAACCCCTGAGACTATGGCCCCTAGCTGCCTTTCAGGTTTGGAACTGAACTCACTCCTGTGGCTTCCAGCAAAATAAAAGACAGGCTTATGGGGTGAACATTTACACCAGGTAGATACACTCCTTGGAGCGATCAATCATGGGAGAATAGAAGGGCTGTGTATGCACAGGGCAGGGGGCGGGCAGGAGTGCATGAGAGGGACGGACACAGGGAAGAGGTAACTCTGGGGAGAAAGTGGGAAGAGAGCTGTTACACTGTGGGAAACTGCAATCAATGTCATGAGACAAAATGTATATGAATTGCTGTATGGAAAATGAATTTGCTCTGTAAACTTTCACCCAAATCACAATAAAAATTAAAAAACAAAAAGAAAAGAAATCCATAAGCAATTATGGTTCTAAAATTGCTACCATACCTGAACTGCCCAAACTTTTGTTTGCCCAAATAGAGAGTTGAAAAAGTAAAATAGAAGAACTGATGCATTAAAGTTGTAGTGTTGTCAAAGAACACTGACTACACCAGCGACCGCCAGAAGAAGAAATCTGCCTTAGAAAAAGATACAACCAGACGCTCCTTAGACATAAGGATGCACAGACCGTGGCTCACCTACTTTGGACATGTCATCAGGAAGGACACTTTGGTAAAGCAGAGGGCCACCAAAAGCAAGGGAAATCTTCAATGAGATGGATGACACCATGGCCATGGCCTCAAACATACCAGTGATCACAAAGACCAGGCACCGCTGAGTTCTGTCACCCATCAGGTCGCCATGAGTTGGTGCCAACTTGAGGACAACCACAAGAACAGACAGTTGTAGGATCTGCCATAGTAACAATGAGTTGAAATTATTTAAAAGTCTTTTTTCTGCTCCCAAGAAAGTTATTTATACTCCGTAACCATTTTTAGCAAATTCTTTATTCACAGGCAGATGAATCTTATATTTAGGTCAGAGACTGTTGTTGTTGTTATGTGCCATCGAGTCGGGCCCAACTCATAGCGACCCCTCCTTGGGTTTCTGAGGCAGTATCCATATGGAAGTAGATTGCTCAACCTTCCTTCTGAAGAGTGAGTGGCTGGTGGGTTTGAACCACCAGCCTTCTGGTTAGCAGTCAAGTGCCTTAGGCACTACGCCACCAGGTCAGACACCAGCTACTATCTTTTCTCAATAGTATGTAAGGTGCAGGAGGTCAAACAAGGGCAATATGTGTGTGTGTGTGTGTGTGTGTATTTATATAAATATGCACATATATGTCTAAGGAGCTCTGGTGGCAATAGTGGACAAGGCATTTGGTTGCTAACCAGAAGGTCAGCAGCTCAAACCCACTAGTTGGTCCATGGAAGGAAGATGGGGCAATCTACTTTCGTGAAGAGTTACAGCGTCAGAAACCTAATGGGAGTCACTATGAGTCTGAATCAACTCGATGGCAGTAGTTTCGTTTTGGTTTATCTATGTCTTGCTGAGCTGAAGTGCTGGCTGTTGGGTGGGGACCAAGCACAAGGCATTGGACATTGGAAATAGAAAGCTACTGAAGCCTGGAGGACAGTGATCCCAGCCGGACAGCAGAGCAGCACTGCTAAAAGGACATGGAGGTGGCATCTTCTGACCTCCTCCAACTTCACAAGAGAAAGACAGAATCACCATCAGCAGCCCAATGCTGATTCCTATGAGGCCAGACATGCCGCCAACTTCCACCCTTTTTAACAATTCTGATGCCAACATCCCTCCCATGGCACTCACTACTCCTCTGCTGGGTTTGATGATTCACTGCGAAGGCCACATAGAACTCACAAACAATGCTCACGACTACGGGGCTTATTAGGGAAAGTAACCAGCTACAGCTCAGGTTCAGGAACGCTCTCAGGATACAATTCTTAGATCAGAACAGTTGCCCAGCTGCTATGCCCTCAAGCACGCCTCTCTGGCCCTTGGACTCTCGGCCCGGCCTCTGCCCTACTAGGCAGTGTTACAGAGTTCCTTTAGCTCTGCCAATAGATGTACCCCACTCTGCCAGCAAGCCTCCTGACCCAAGGCACTCAGCTTTCTCACTCTGTGGACCAGAAAGCCCATCTCTCCATCTCGTGCCTCTTGGTTTCTCAGGTAAGTCTCAGCTGGGTCATCTCTGCCAAGGAGCTCCAGTGCAGGGATCTCAGGTCCAAGGACACACTCAACTTCACCTCCCGCTCTTCTCTCTTGACGGCAGTGAGATCCCCCTTCTGTCTCTGTTGTTGTTGCTGCTGTTTGCCGTCGAGTCGGCTCCAACTCATAGCGACCCCTCCTTGGGTTTCCGAGGCAGTATCACTACGGAAGTAGGATTGCCCAACCTTCCTTCCAAAGAGTGGCTGGTGGGTTTGAACTGACAGCCTTCTGGTGAGCAGTCAAGTGCCTTAGGCACTATGCTACCAGAGCTCCTCTTCTGTCTCTAGGAGGGCTCATTTTAAGCCTGGCATAGTGACAGAACTAACCAATCCCAACATCAGAGTTCTATACACCTTATTTGCATGGTCCCCCCCAATAATCTGGTGGGAGTTACAAAGACTATGGCTAGAAAAGCCATACCAAGTGATTCACTGTACCACAAGCATGAAAACCATACTGAGAAAAAAATATATGGAGCAATGAGACATTTGCTCAAGGAAGGTGAGCTGCCTACAGAGAGCCAAGAGCGTGCCCAGGTAAGACTAGGGGAGCTGGGGAGGGCGCAGGTAAGCCCAAGACTGGACACTGTGTTCTGGGAGAAGAACTCCAGGGACAGCCTGGAGAACATAAAGCAACAGTCAAGATGCATAACAAGTGAGGTTTATTCTGAAAACCTGGGGAAAATAAAAAGAAGAACCTTTTTCTAAAATCAATCTTGCACTCTATTTTACAACTCTATTACTTTATATATATATATATATATATATTTGGAAGCCCTACAAGGCTTTCTATAAAGATCTCAGAAGAACTGATGCATTTGAATGGTGGTGTTGGTGAAGAATACCTAAAGCACCATGGACTACCAGAAGAATGAACAAATATGTCCTGGAAGAAGTTCAGCCTGAATGCTCTTTGGAAGCAAGAATGGCCAGACTTTGTCTCTCATACTTTGGTCAGGTTCTCAGAAGGGACGAGTCCCTGGAGAAGGGTCTCATGCTGGATAAAGGAGAGGGTCACTGAAAAAGCGGAATATCTTCAATGAGATGGATGGACACAGTGGGTGCAATGATAGGCTTAAGCAGAACAACTACTGTACGATGGCACAGGACTGGGCAGTGTCTCACTCTGCTGTACATGGCATTGCTGGGTCGGAACAGCTTGATGGCACCTAACTGCAGCAAGGCTTTTGGATGCTAGACCCACAGGGGGCAGGACCAGCAGAAAGGAGCTTGCAGAATACCTCTGAGCCCCATCTGTGGAACTCCACCCTGCGTCTTCTAGGACCTTACGTTTCTGGTATGTTCTGGATGGAGCTCCTTGACTCTTTGATTAAACAGAGATTGGAGCTTAGTGGTGTTGGCAAAACATAGTGCCTGTGCAGTTGTGGGGGACAGATCTTTGGGAAGGAGAAAGTGTCAAGCTCTCCAGAACCTCTAAGGTCGGCTACTTTAAATATCACCTGGCTGAGAAGGAAGTTCTGGTGGTATAGTGCCTATGGCATTTGACTGCTAACCAGAAGGCTGGCAGTTCAAACCCACCAGCCACTCCTTGGAAGGAAGACGGGGCAATCTACTTCCATAGAGAAATCACCTTGGAAACCCAAGAAGGGGTCGCTATGAGTCGGGATTGACTCAATGGCAATGAGTTTGGTTTTTTGTTTTGGTCCATGAGAAGAGTGAATTTTCTTATTACACTCTTCCTGACTGCTCTAGCCTTCTTGAATCAGTGCTTTTAGAAAAAAGTTCCACATGGAGTCATGGGCAGAAAAATTCCGTACAAATAAAAAGTGCTTTATAAGTACAAAGGCTGGTGACTGAGTTCCAATGCTGAACAGAGCAATGTATCTCACTGCCGAGTGGATTCCAAGCCACAGCGCCCCTAGAGGACAGAGTGGAACTGCGCCCACAACGTTTCCAAGGCTGTCAATTTTTACAGAAGCAAAGCCCAAACCAAACCTTGCAGTCAATTCCGACTCACAGTGCCCCTAGAGGACAGAATGGAACTGCCCCAGAGGGTTCCCAACGCTGTAAAATTTCTAGGAAGCAGACTACTACATCTTTCTCCCATGCGAATGCCGGTGGCTTCCAAACACTGCCCTCTGGGTGCGCAGCGGAGCGCTTTAACCCTTGCACCAGCTGACCTCCTAAGCACTATCTAAAGTGCCCCTTTAACAGGTAGTAACACTTGCCCCTGAGTCTGCAGCACAGTCGGTTTAGCAAGAGTATTTCTGTCCTAATTACCCTATCTCTTCAGGCTAGCTAGAGTTTTGGAGCAGTGGCCTCTGGGATTTTTCCTATCCATTTTATCTAAATTATTTTTATCTAAATTGCATTCCTTAAAATAAGAAACCAGCCTCTAAATAAGTTATCAAAGAAGTAAACAAGTAACAGTAAAGCTGAAGGGGGGGGGGAAACACCACTCCAAACATGAGAGTAAAAACCTAGCTGAAGTCAGTCTAAGTACGCATAATGATTTTTGGGGAGTAAATAACTGTTGTCTTGCAGGATTTTTAACCGGAAGCGTTAATGATGGCCACAGGGTGAAGAATGCTGAGTTGCTTAAGCAACCAAAGCAAACCAAAATCAAACACGACTGTCATGGAATCCATTCCAATTCCTAGCCACTCCCACTGGGTTTCCAAGGTGGTAAATTTTTACGGAAGTAGATTGCCTCATCTGCCTTCCACTGAGTGGGTGGTGGGTTTGAACCGTCAGCCTCCTGGTTAGCAGTCAAGTGCCTTAGGCACTAGGCTACCAGAACTCCTAGTTATTAGCCTTGAAGAAATCACAGAAGTTCTTTAGACCATAGTTTCTTCACTGTCAGGATTGGGAGGAGGCCTTTTCTACCTCCTCACAAGTTGGCAGTGAACAGGTCTAATATTCTGACACACATCAGAACAAATAAAGTTGTTGTTGTTAGCTACTGTTGAGCTCTGCGTCACCAGAGCTCCCTTACAAGCAATCAGCACTGCTTAACTGGGCAAGTTGTCCTTGACTGCGGAAGAGCATGGTAAGGAATAGAGTTTTTAGGGAGAAAAAGGGTTAAATAGTACGGCATCCTGCCTCCCGCCTACTGGTTTGTCCGGAGACTGCCGCCAAACCCAACTTCACAGGCACATCACTGCAGCGGAGCCGGTGGCTTTATTCCGTTTTTCAGACTATTCCGTGGCCACACACACTGCCACTCTGCTTGCGCTGTGAGATGGCATTTTTCTAGAATTATCCTCGGTTCTTCTCGTTTCAGATTCAAGCAGCGGAACAGGGAAGAGATGCACGCTAACAAAACGCTTGACTGCAAAGACAGCAGCAGGGGTTGGGCCTGCCTCTCACCAGGTCCCAGGAGACAGCTCTGTAAACATAGGAAGCCACTCACCGCCAACCTCTCAGGTAGCTGACACCGGGGGCTCGGATGTTTAGTCCTCTAGGGTAACAGAAATTGCCTCAGAAAAAGAAGACACAGACACACACACACACACACACACACACACACGTCTGCCACCTGACCTCTATCCCCCCACCCCAGAACTGAATCCTCCGGCACACTCCCACTTGGCTACTGGTGCAGACTCTCTAGGGAGTCAGCCGGCGAGGGCTTCTGAAGAGTGGAGGAGGGGAAAGCGATCAAATTCCTTTGAGGACTTGTTTAGTTTGCAACTCTGGCTTTGGCAATTGGGGTGGGGGGAGGTACTTGGGGCGGGGGGGGCACAGAGCAAGGTTGGGCTGGCTCTGACGTCACACCCAATAAGTCGGATGTGGCAAGAACTGCCCAGAGACCCGAGAGGCCTGGCCAACCGGCAAGGGGACGGTTAGTTTCCCAAGTCTGCTAAAATGCATCACCCACAGCAAAGCCCTACACCCCTGCCTTCCTTCTGGGAGGGCTTCACGGAAGGGCCCCTCCCAGGCCCTCTCCGAAGGGGCGCGTCCCCGACGTTCCCTTGGATACCTGCCCCCCCCCAGAGGCACCTCTCACTGGAGGTTAGACATATGGAGACAGGAGCTATGCGAGGGGCACACAGGGTGGAAGGAATGTGGCTGCTGTCTGCAGCCCACTTTGGATGGTCTTCTCGGGAAAAGCCCAGCTACAGACCGGGAAACTGAGACCAGGGCGGTGAGCCGGGGCCCCACTTCGCACAAATCACTGGGTGGCCCAGAATGGCCGCTCCGCAGGTGTTGGCTGCATGTCCGCGCTTCTATTTCTTTCCCCCGCTCAGGCTCCCGCGTCCGCGCCTTGCTCCGCTTCCTCGCGCGCAGCCGCGCCGTCCTACCTGCTGAGCCGTCGGGGCCGTCTTTGTCCGCCCGGCCGGGCTCGCCGGCGCCCTGTTGCTCGTCGTTGTCGCAGCCGCCCTGGTCCAGGCGCGCCTCGGCGCTGGAGCAGCAGTAGCGCAGGGCGCAGCTGCCGCAGCAGATGGTGGCGTCGCCGCCGTCGAAGCGCTCGGGGCACTGGAA